TGGGCTGTGGGAGCAGGGTGGGCTACCAGGAGGTGCTGGTGAATGATGGAGCAGCTGGAGAGAACAAGAGGACCTCTGCAGGCATGAATAAATAAATAGTGGCAAGCCAAAGGCACTGACCTCAGGGATAATGCCATGGGTCCAGAGTGGCACAGAGCTATTGAAAGAAGCAGGGCAATCTGTTCCTAACCTCCAGATGCACTGAATGTAGGATATGCTTTTTTATTTCAATTTAATCCAAAAAACTAGAGCATGAAATGCAGCACTATCCTGAGACACAGAACACTATCTCTGAAAGGATCCCCAGGATGCATCAATCAGTGCTTAGCCTGCCCAATATGCTGCATAACACAGGACACATATTCTGCACTGCACAGTAATTCACACAATCTGAAAGGTAACAACAGTAATAACCTTTCCTGTTTTTTTTTTTGGTTTGGTTTGGTTTGGTTTGGTTTTTTGTTTTGTTTTTTGTTTTTTTTTTCAGGAATTAGGTCCATTCCTGCATATCTAATAGCCTGGACCATAAGACAATCCCTCTGCCATCCAGATAAGCTTTGTAGGCACCACTGGTCTGAGACAGATGTGTCTGAGCTGATGGGTCAATAGATGTACGTCTGTGCACATGGACTTCATGTGATATTGATGTGGCCAGCTGGATCAAATACATACAGTGACAATTTTCTTTGCAGCATAGGGTTTCTCTGAATAGGTACTGTATGGTAAACTGGAACCATGCAGACCTCCAAACCAACAGTTTACCCAATGAATCTAAAAACCTTACCATGGTTCTAAGATTTTTTTCAACAGGACACCTTTAACTGCTTATAAGCAAATTAATTTCCAATCTGTTCTATTTCCTCTTCTTAATCTTATCCTCAGAATATGCTTTCAGACATTAAAATGTCCAAGTCGAAGAAAATGGGCTTAGGTATCAAAATGACTAACAGTCCCCCACAAAAAAAATCTGGAAATCTGTACCAGTGTACTACACACATTTTTTGTTTCACCTTGAAGGAAAAAAAAAGGTTCTAATACAGAAAAAAAGATGCTCTATTTCCATTTTTCATTTATGCAAATTACACTCTGAATAAATAAATCTACATAATCCACCTTCCTGCTAGACAACTTGCAGTAACATTTGCCAAGAGAAAGACAGGCTTTTCTGATACTAATGCATAAAACATGCTGAATAGAAAAATTAAAACAAATCATATTGAGTAAATAGCTGCTGTGTAGCTCTGGAAAGATTAATAGAGGTACTGATGAGTTAGTCAGGATTGTCTTGTTCAATTATTTCAAACATGCTACCAGTTAAAGGTATATTGAAGTTAAGGTTTAATAGAGACAGTCATATCCCAAACCACTGAAATCTATAGGAATTTTTTTCCCTTAATTTCCATGGAACAGGCATGTCAATCTTTCTGCTGAAGCACCAACAGTGTCAATTTGTTAGTCCTGGAAAACCAACCTATTCAGCATGTAGCTGATGTGCTGTGCAGGGGCTGCAGCCCCAAGAAAGCAGATCTCTTTTGCTGTTTTGGGAATGTAGGAAGTGCCTTCCCTAATTTGATCAAAACTGATCTTTGCTCTGTGTGTTCTCTGTCCATGTGAGATAGAGGCTTGGTGACTGTAAAGGTTGCCACGAGTCTTGAGACTGCAACAGGGGAAGGATAAAACAAAAATCGGTGTCAGTATGTTCTTTATTGGTATCCATGGCCTTCCCCCACTGTGATTGCATAGGGTAGATGATGAAAGGCAACTATTATTCTCTATGGTCCATCCAGAAACTATCAAACTCTGATCATACTTGGTGCTTGGACGGTCTCCTCTAAACTGTTAAGTATCTTTCCACATTGGAAAATCTACTCTGGACAACTGAATCCTTATGCTCTTTTCTCTAAAGAATTAAGACTATTCCATGGGGCTGGGTCCATCAAAAGGCTTGAGTATTATAAACTGCATCACTACATTTTTACATACTGTGATGCTTCATGGAATTCAAAGATATCTTTTCTTGGTGGAGAAATGTAAGTTCCTTTCATGCTTCCTGGGGGCAGTGGAGTGTGGGATATACAAAGCCTACAGACGGAGTAGGAAGCTACCTAAGAAGGCCAGTAAGAAAAATTAAGAAAATATGATTTAATAATGTGCCTTTGCTAGGAAATCACAGCCACAAGACTGGCACTAAAAACAGTGTTTTCTAACAATTACCAACTATCCACAGGAGAATAACTTCTTTCTATTTATTTACTGTACAGTCTGGTTGTTCACAGCATACATCTGGGATATGGTATGTCACCCCCCTCCACCAGCTGCCAGGAGAATTTCTCCTTGGTAGGCTATTTGGTGTTGCAGACTGAGTTATTTACTTGTCAAATCTGCTCTACCATGACTGAAAATACCTGAATATACTTTGGAAGAGAGAAAAAGACTGATCTCCAAATAACCAGCAAACAGTTTTGTGGCTGTGGCATTCAGCATTGACACCAGGCCAAATCCAACTTGCACAGAGTGGAAATCTGAAGGCAAGCCTGTCGCCTTGCCCACCGGGAACTTCTTCCTGCAAGGTCTAGTAGGCTGGCTTGGAGAATGGTTTGCAGATCAGCTCCTTCAGGCAACATAGGATGGGCTTACCTTATGAGAGAAACACAGCATGGCAGATACCTATGCCCTTGGGGACCTTCCTAGCAGACAGTTAAATGGTTTGGTGAAGTGAGGTCTCAATCCATGCATTCATCTGCTAAAAAGGCTAGATAAGTTAATAAAATTCCAGGCTTCCAAAATCTGTGGTATTGGATTTAAAGCAATGGATTGACAGCTTTTATTTCTAAAACCATTATTTTAAAGCAATCTTACAAGTGAAACAAGTAACACATTTTGTTCATATTTTCAAGCTAATTTCTAGTTGCTTGGACCAGAAACTTATTTTTCTCCTCTTTAAACTTGAGCAAAGCTCTTTATTTAATGACAAAACTCCAAAAACCACAAATTTAGAAGAACTATCAAAATTTTTGAGATTTATAAAAAAAGGAGGAGAATTTGACTCTATAGATTTTTTGTGGTAACATAAGATTAAATTTGTCTTACTGGAGATATGGGAATGCTCAGCTCCACAGATGGGAAATGCAAAGGAGGCCTCAGACCTGAGGCTGACTCTGGTCAGTCTCCACATCACTAAGACACTCTTCAGAAGCCCTCGTTTCACTGTGTGCATTGGCTGGCCTTATGCCCTTGGGAAGTACAGGTTCTTCTTTCTATTTGTACTCCAGAACTTCCTAACCAGCAGCTTGGCAAAGAAGGAGGAGAAAAAGGGTGTGGAAAGGACTGTTGTATCTTTTCTCTACAGCAGATATGTAGGGAAAGTCTTCAAAACCAGATCAAGCTGCTTCCTGCTTCAGTGATACTTGAAGATAGTTGTCCATAGGAGTTTCAAAGTTACACTTTTTCTTGCATAATCTAGGTGCAGTTGCACATCTCAGTATTCCCCTGTGTGCTCCAAACTCCATAGTTCAGATTAGTTCTAGGTTAGGTAAAAACTAGAGGGTTTGAATATGGGCCTTAGTGACCGCATGATCACAGATCTTTGCAAGCTGTTGATATGACAGAGCCCTATGCACTTTATGACTTTATCTTGTACTCTCTTAGAGCAATATATCTATTATTTCAAAATGCATGACTTGCTAAAAATCCCAGCTAAGTTATAACTAGATTCCACATACTCATTTATGAAACCAGAGTTTTCATAATTTTCACAATCATCACTGTCAGTCAGTCTTTCTGCCACAAAAAACCCTAAAACACGACCTTTCACCTGGCAGAAGGGCTCATTTCCCACCTTGCCTTAACTGTGGCTGCGTGCCAGAACACGTTACACTGGGTTGGAACTCAACAATATATGAATTCTCACACCAGTGTTTTGTTCACTGTTTCTCTGACTTTAAATCTAGGATACAGTATACCCTGGCTGTGCAAACCTTGTGAATCAGTTTCTCACAGAGCAAGGGAAAAAAATTCCAGCCCCTCCACCAAACCAGCAGTACCATTGTGATTGCTGGGAGAGAAGTCATAGGAGCCGCCACGCACACAAACTTGTTCGGGCTAGTGAGCATTGAACTTTGCCTTTGTTGAAATAATCAACAGAATCCAGATTTAAGTTAAATGAATACACTTTGGAATAATAAAAACCAATCGCATTTCTCTTTCTCATGTAACATCCTAAACTCTGAACAGCTTAGTCATAACCTCCCTTTCAAGCTGCTTCCTTGTTTCTCAGATGTGATGGACATGGAATTTCAAAGATAGCAAATTAAATATAAGTTTTCACAGAAGCAGAATCCATTAGGCCAGAAAAGACATCTCAGATGCTCGAGTCCAACCTATGACCCAACCCCACCATGTCAACTAGACCATGGCACCAAGCACCACATCCAGTCTTTCCTTAAACACCTCCAGGGATGATGACACCACCTCCTTGCTGTGCAGCCCATTCCAATGTTTAACCACCTTTTCTGCGAAGAAATTCCTCCTAATGCCCAACCTAAACCTCCCCGTGTCTTTTGAAACACTATTAAAATGCCAGAAGGGAAAAAAAAACCCCAACACCAGGAGTTACAGTTTAAGGACAGAAAGCTGATACTTAATGGGTTTTGCCTGAACACAAATCAACAATGAAAGAACATAAAGAGAACGGGCGCGCTAGGCAGTGACCTGGGGAGTTTGGTTTGACGTTACAGTGGAAGGATTTGTTCTCCGCACCGCGTCAACAACACAGCGATGCCTCAGCTCTCAGCCCGGACCGCGCGGGGACCGCGAGGGGCGGGGCGGAGCGGGCGCCACCGGGCTCGGAGCCGCCAGGGCGCAGGCGCGGGCCGGGGCCCCGCAGCGGCGCAGGCGCGGCCGCCGGATCCCATCAGGCTCGGGGCGGCGGGAGCGAAGCGGGCCCAGCATGTCGGAGAAGAAGCAGCCGGTGGACCTCGGGCTCCTGGAGGAGGACGACGAGTTTGAGGAGTTCCCGGCCGAAGGTGCCGGACGGGGCAGGGCGGGGCGGGACGTGGCGGGACGGCAGGCGGCGACTGTGGTGCCACCCGCAGGCCGCGGCCTGGGCCGGCCGAGGCGGGCAGGACGCGGCGGGCCCGGTGCGCTGTGCCCGGGATGCTCTGTGTTCTGTGCCGGCCCGCGGGGCACTGCCACGCTGTCCTGGGCTGCTGTCCTGGGCTGCCGCCTCGCTTCAGCCACACGGGAGCGGCTTCCCCGCGGGTCCCTGCCCACCCCCCGCCCCGGTCAGGGGCTGCAGCCCCACCAGGGCCGAGATCGAGCGCGGTCGTGGTGCCCGTGCCCGACTCTGTGCGGTGTCACGGCGCTGGGCACATCGCCCTGGAAGTGCTGTGTCATTGTGCCAGGGAGCTGCGAACAAGTGCAGGAGAAACTTGCCTCCTCTCGCACTGAAGATGAGAATCCCCAGGGAAGAGGAGGGATGAGGGCTGGAAACTGAGTGTGAGGTGGAAACGAATGTGAAAAGGAAATGATATGCTCCGTAGTTACTCTGAATCACTTTACCTTTTGAAGCGCAGATATTTATGTGTTGGTTTGCTTTTCATAGGTACAAATATACTGAATGAGGAAGTTGAATTCAGTAAAACAACTCACTGTCCCTTTACAGAGATAATCTGGGAAACATCCCTATTAGGGCATGTTTGTTTTCTATGTCCTTAATTCTAGGATTGTCTCAAGCTGTAGATAATGAGAAATTATATATAGCATGATGGATGAAAAGATAGGAGCAATTTTCTGTAATGTCTTCATTACGTGTGGTTTTTCCGTGGCCTTAGGTATCCTGAATCCTTCAGTACTGGTAAAAATTGTATTTCTCCACTTGTTGAGAGAAAAAGTTAGTAACGTAAGTGAAATAATAGCTGAAGTAAACTTAGAAGACTATCTCTTCTTTTTCATATGTATTTCCTAAACAGGAAAAAAATGTTTAGCTGTGCTGGTAAAACAAAGTGCTGTGCAGGCTTTTTTGGGTGGAACAGAGATTTTAATAGGAGTGATCACTGGCAAGGCTTCTCCCGATTCCCTCTTGCAGAAAATAAGAACCTCAAAGAGGCCCATTTGAATCTTCAAGTGAGGTCATAGTTTTGAGGTGTTATAAAGAGTGTTCAGACCAATTTGACTGTTACCTGCAGTGCTTAGGAGAGACCTGTGATAACTGTGTGCTCAAACCCATCCCACACTGTTGTTCTTTCAAGTTAAAACACCACTTTCAATGCAACAGAAAAAACTTTGTGTTCTATTGCCTAGGTTTTAACCAAAGGAAATTAGATAATGCAAAGCTATGTTAAAGGATGAAAATACTGGCTCCTGGGGTTTATTCCAACTTAAAATTTTTCTTAAAGCAATTTATCAAATCAAGTTTATGTATCAAAAGCAGACGTATCCAATTTTTATAGGACACTGTGAAGTATAGCATTAGTATGGTAGATTAAAGTGTATGGGAATCAATCACTCAAGAATTTTTTGTACAGTGCATTTCAGAGTATAAAATGTAATGTATAAAATAATACAGGAGGGGATTAAAAAAAACCCCTAAATTCTAAAAATTGTTTTTGTTCCCAAGTGCAAAAATAGGACAATCAGTGATCAGCATATTAAAATACATTCTTAAGGAGTCCAGCCATGGCAAAATTATAATTTTAATGTGTATTAGTAATACTTAAGGGTAGTGGGCTTTCAAATGCTCTTAATACTTTCAATCCCTAAAAATGCTTCATTATTTTTTACTTTTATTCAGTCACAGGCATATAATGTAGCTGGGAGTGATAACTGTATTGTGCAATTTTGGAGTATAGTATCAACATACAGATGCTGTAGAATCTTGTAGCCACAGTGAAGAGAATGTAGTTCAGGCTTTATTTTCACACTATTCCACCCCTTCAGTGCGGAAGATCACATGGGCCTTACTGAGTCCTCGTCATTCAGTGTGATTTGGAGCATGTTTTCACAGTCTGCCCAACTGACCTTTTATGATTGAAGCTGCTGTTTGTTGTGCTGAATACAAGTTACTAGCATATTTTTTTTTTCAAGTTTGTAGTTCTGTCTGAGTTACTTGTATGTTTGCAGATAGCAAAGTATGACTTTGTAATTTTAAACTGGTTTGAGCTTTCTTTTTTTGTATCTTTGAAATCCAGATAAATAATTGGTAAAGCTTTTTTATTTTAACAAAAAAAATCAATTGTATATAAATAGGCAAAGCTTATTGCAGGCAGTTCTAAATTATAAGTCCTTCTCTTTGAGCAATTAGCAACACAACTAAATTCAAATAATGCGTTTTTTTTAATCTGCATTTTCCCTTCACCTTTTCTTCCCAGGTTTTTTTTCCTTCACCTTTTCCCATTATATAATTTATATGTGTAGGGAAGTTTAATTGTAATGCCTTTTATACATGTGTCTTCAATCAGTTACAAATGGCTTTTTGTGTTCTGGTGAATAACAAATATTAATTTTGTTGCGTGTCAGTGTTAAAAAAAGGAGGTCAGTATGCAAAGACCAGGCTTTTTTTTTAGAAAGTTAGCTGTTCACAGGGAATTAGTTTTTAGTCTTTTACCTCACTAGCTTCACCTCCCCCATACCTCCATCAGTGTTTAATGTTACTTTAGGCCTTAGTCCTCAAAGTGTTCTGTAGAAGGGCAGCAGATGGCTCACTGAACTGTAAGGGGAAGAACTCTTTAAATACAGTACCAGACTTTGAGAAAGACAAGTGACAGAATTAGGGGCTTCTTTTGTTTTGGTAACATTTGAAAAACTTGCTGTCGTTCAGTAGGGGAAAACTGAAAAACTCAAAGTAATTGAATTAAGCCCACTTGTGTTTTCATGGTGATTCTGAGCTTTTAATTTTCATCATTTTTCTAAACTATTTAGTTTGATCATAATTTTTTTTTAATGACGATGCATTAAGGGGGCAATGAGTAATTTGTCAAGAATGATGTCCCAGATTACTTTTTTATAGGAAAAATAGAAATAAGGTTAGCAAATGGGCATTTAGTGCCTTGCCTCTCTAAGGAAACAGTTTCTGCTGTCTTGGGAACCCAGAAATAGCTGGTTACGGGTATCAACTACTGTTTGCAGATGCCTGTTTCAATTTGCCTTTACTTCTGCATCATGGAGAAGTTTTTGGCATTTATCCAGAGACTGGCTGCGTCTGATCTGAGTGAATGGAGGACGTGTGCCTGTGTTTTCGCAAAAGCATCTGATACATATTTACTTTTTTATTCGGGAAAAAAAGTATTTAAATACAAACTGGAATCTCACACCTTTTGTTGAGCTTTTGGGAGTCAAGTACTCAATATTGCTTTCTTTTTACAATAGTGTTACAGTTTGTCCATTTGTTTATCCATTTGTATTTCCATTGTCCAAAATGTCTTTTATGAATGTGTAATCTTGCAAACCATGATGTGAAGTGTGTAATGATTTTTTTTAAACTAGGTTTCACTTTTATTGTAATTCAAGAAATTGTGAGGCATGTTTTAGATCTTTCTGTCTCATAAACACTTGAATGTGATCCAGACTTCTCTGTTAAACTTAACAGAAGTCTACCTTACCCAGAGGCTGAGCTGATCTGTCAGTAACACATGGTACCAAAGCTATGCAGCATACAATATTTAGACCTCCTTTTCTGTCTTTAGACTGGACTGGTTTAGATGAAGATGAAGATGCACATGTCTGGGAAGACAATTGGGATGATGACAATGTAGAAGATGATTTCTCCAATCAGTTAAGGTAATTTTATTTTAACTTACTGTTCTAGAAGATGGGTGAAATGTTCAAAATGGCACTGATTAGTTACTATTTGAAAGTTTGAAATCTGCTTAATTTAATAAAATAGAGATCTGAAATGGAAATAAACGAAAGCTCTACTTTCTGCTTTTCTATTTAAAGACTTTCAGAACCAGACTTAGAGATTATAGCACTCTGAAGTACTGATCAGCATTTCATCTTTTAATAATTCTAGTGATCCCTGAAATATGCCTTATGATACTGGGGGGACAAACAGTGCAAAGATCTCTGCAAGCTGCAACACAGTTCACACTTTCTCAATTTACCATTAGATCCATTTTCTAATGCCTTTCCTGCATATATGTGAAAGTTCTGAATTGTACTGCAAGGATTAATGGCAAGGCATCCAAGATTATCTCTTCCGTGCTATGTGGTGTGCAAAGTTTTTTGTTTGTACTTTCAAATAGCACTGCTGTTCTTTGTCCAAATGGACAAATTTTCTAGAGATCAGTGATCTGTAATAATGTTGAGGTTGTCTTCTATGTGATGAACATGCTGTTTATGAGCAACAACAGCAAAGTAATTGTTAATTATATACTTTAAAAAAAGCGATAGCAATTTGGGTACCTCTAAACCAGTTGCTTAATCCTCTTTGTCACTTGTTTCAGTAATCCTTTACTGATGCATAATTATAACTTAAATTGTTTCAAGCATCAGAACAAAGCCAGATTTTATAATTAATCTCTCAGTATGTTGCATGAGGAGCAAACTGTCTGTAATACAGCCTGCTTAAGCATTTCCTGGGTTGATCTCCCTTGTTGTACTCCAGCAAAAGCAATTATTTTTGTATCTTCTACATAAAAGATCTTTGGTATAGTTTTTTCTTATGAGGTTGAAAGGCATAAAGCTGTAATATTGGAAAACAGGTTGATAGGTAATCTTGAAACAGACTTTCAAGAGATATAATAATTCTTGATAAACATAGTTGATCTAGACAAACCTTCCCTAACTGGCCTTAATTGTAGCCTGTAGTATTGGTGACTGTATACTGTTTTGCAATGTTGCTTGGTTGCAACATGGTTTTATTTCATCTCTAGAAAGCAAATACTGCAGTCTTCCATTTTTAAAATTCCACTACTAATTATGTAAACTAACCTGAAATATTTTTGGTGATTTGGAGTTCTGTATGTAGAGACACATATGCTAAGATGAGGAGATGAAACAGGGTGCATCTCCATGTTTGGAGACAGGTGAGGAGCAAAGTGGCGACAGGCCAGGAGTGATAACAATTATAGTTGCTGACTTGCTGTCCTGGCCACAACTAAGGGCGACAAAGCAATCCTTTCCCGCAGAATTGTTCACTGCAAGGTGTATTTCACCAAAACATAAATAAAATGACCAGAGTACACTATTTTTAAAACAAAGAAAAAGCTTAAAATTGTCTTGGAAGCACATGCATTTAAATAATTCAGAATTGTTTGGCTTAAGGAAATCTTGAGAATAACTGTATAAGATAATACTTTGGTTTTTCTAGTGTGTTTGGAGTTGTTGCAGGCTCATGGGTGCTGCTTTGGGTCAGTGGGCAATAACTATGATTAAAACAAATATTTGAATTTTTCACTGAGAAGTCACTTCTGGTGATCTAAGATATAAAGTTGAAGTTCAAGAACTACAGAGTAAGTAGGGTCAAGGTTACTGGTGTGAATCAAAAAGCAGTATGACGTTGATATTCTAAAATGATTGTATATTATATGGTACATGTAATTTAAAAAAAAATCATTTAACGGGACTGTATCTGTGTGTTTCAGTATATCTATCTCTTCTATACAGAGCTGAATTAGAAAAACATGGATACAAGATGGAAACGTCATAGTTTTTGCAGAATATGGAGTGGCTTAACATGGAACTGTGGATAGACTATATTGAGAAAAGAAGAAAAGGTGGAAAATGAGAAGACACACCTAGTTCATTATCTGCTTGGATTTATTATTGTTTTGTATAAAAAATAAAGTTTTTAATCTTAGCCTCGTCATACATTCAGCCGCTACTCACCTGGTACCTTGTAGTTTGGTTCTGAAATGCCTTGTGTGTGACAGAATTCATGGACTTGCCTTGAATCCCACTAATGATCTGTCAGTGGCTGATGATCTTGCACCAGCTTCTGTCATGGGGAGCTAAATATGTGTAACTAGAATGAAGACTAGTGAACATTTCTGTCACAAGGAATGTGGAGGTGTCAAAAAGAAATAAAATACTGGTATATTCCAATTAAACTGTGCTAGAGATAGAAAGCAGTTTTAGGGAGTGATAAAGCTTGTTTTGCATCAACACTTTATTTCATAATTACTCAGGTATTTTTGTTAGTAATTTCATGTGGGTACTGGTTTGATAGACTCAAAAGATAGAACCTGCTTTGAAGTGTCCTATGACAGCAGAAACCCAGACTCTCCAGTCTGGTCCTGTCATTTCTCAGGTCTGTTAATGAGGACACCTCTCTGGAGGTGAAAGAAGTTTAAGCCTGGAAGTCTCTGCTGAAATTGCCTCCAATTTGCCAGTTACAGCAGTTCATCTGTATCACACGAACAGGCTTGCTGAAAACGGAAATCAAACTTCCAACTTGTTTCACAGAGGCCAGCAGATAGTTGCCAGATAGATATGGCAGTAGGGACTGGATTCGATTACTCTCTGAACTAGAAAACAAGGTGAAAATTGCAAAACCTATGACCGCTTCCGTGAATCTTCCCCAAAGGAGCTGTTCAAGCTGATGTATGTAAAGACAGAGTGAGATGTAGCCATGATTCCAAATATAATTTTATTTTTTTTAAATAAAGAGGCAACTATAGTTACTAACAAAATTTGAATTAGCTGCTTGCTTTTTCAGCAGTTCACTAGAGAAGCGGAGCCTTAATTGTTATTTATAGTGAGCTTTCAGAATAAAGATATTAGTTGATGGACATGCAGTTATGGTATTAAATGCTTTAACCTTGTTAACTAAATAACCGAGTCTCTTATGTTATAATGGCATTTATTAATGCAAAATGCTAGGAAGTTTCCCTTCCCCCAGATTATTAGGTGGTGCTATATTATAGTGGAGGCAAGATTCACTGTGACCCTTACTGCTTTCTGAAGATAATTCTGTAAAGACTGAGACCTTCCGTTGCCATCTGAATGGCTCTGCAAAACTAAATGTTTCAGATGGTGTTGGATGTTGTCAGTTTGTCCAGGTCTGTGCTGCTTGGGAAAAGAAAGGGAGGCCCTTTCAAGTAGGCTTGCCCTAGGGTCATTTAAGTTATTCACATTGAAATGTGTATCTCAGGCAGCCCAACTCAGTAGAATACATAGTCCTCGAGTTCATATTTTGACAATCAGGAAATGAAAAGTCTGTCTGTTGAGTGGCATATAGCAACACAAACATCCTCAGGTTAGTGTTGGGAGTTTAAGAACAAAGTATGTTGAGTACGGTTCTGGGATTACTGGTGTTATTAATACATGGGTACTGGAGAGTTGAGTAATGTGACTGACCAAAAGCGGATGACAAAATAATTACGGAGATGTCTGGTGCAATCTGGAGAGGGACAGCTGCTTTCCATTACAGGATTTTGGAAACCTTACTGAAGCAGCCCTGTCACATCAATTGCTAGCAGCAGGAGGAAGCCATGGAGGTGGAAAAGCATCTTTGCCTCAAGAAATCTTTGTTTGTGCTGAGCCACAGTTGTGTTAGTATCTTTTTCTGCTTTTTTCACAAAAGCAGAATTGGAAGGAAAGCCTAGGCTGAGGTAGCCTGATGGCTCTGCATTCCTGCACTAACAGCCTTCAGCTGCTGGGTTATGATCTGAAACCTGATGTTATAGAAGGAAGTTGAGGTGGTTGACCAGGATGTCACTGTAGCAATTCACCCTAATGTACCTGCTTTTCAACCTTAGAAGGATCTGATCTTCCCATATGAGAAGAGTTTTTTAGACTGATCAGCTGAGGTTTCCTTTGGAGGTGTTCTAGTGATCCCTATTAGCAGAAGTGTGGGAGTAGGAATGCTTTGGGGTTGTGAGGGAGGACACACTAAGCGAGGACAAGGATTTGGGAAGGAAGATCTGCAGCCTGGCAACGGTGGGAACGTGGTGAAGAAAGAGAAATTTGTCGAAGATCTGCACGAAGAAGAGGTTGGGCCTTCTAGTTAAGGAAGTAGGACATGTGGGGGTGTGTGTGTGGCGATGGCTGGGTGTGGGCTGCTGAGTAGTCTCTGTTCACTGTTTTGGGAAGCAGATTTAGGTTGATGTCACCCTGTGTTTGGGGACCTATCCTCTCAGCCAAGCGGTGGGACTCTTGGCCAGTATCTTTAGTCTGAGCCATGCTGGGATATGTGGCACATGTCTACAGCTCTCCTCTACTTGAAGGAGAGGGCGTTTTGCAGTGTGGGATGACCTAGATGCTGAGGATGTCTCAAGGCAAAGCACTGTTCAACTAACTTGGAGGAAAGCTCTGGAAGGTTCCTCATTGCCAATGAATTTGATGCTTTTGCTTTGCCTTGGTCCTTAAGAAACCACACACACATAAGAAGAAATGCAAAGTCACAAATAAGCACAAAAAATAGTGAGCAGTCCAAAGTAAGGCCTCTGGAAAGCCTTCAGTTGAGCTCTTTTGTTTCATAATAGCCTTCCTCTGGCCCTCCCTCTCTGCTAGCTTGCTCAACAGCACCAACAGCTTCCCCACATACTTCTGCTCTTGGGTCACAGTGTGTCCTGTTCCCCACTTCCTGAACTGTGTCCACACTGTGCTGTACAGAACAAGTAAGTGTGGGTCCCCATACTGCAGCAGTCCGTGTTGTTTTGCAAATGCTCTAATACATTTTCCACCATCCCTGGGAGAGGGAGAAGTGTTTTCCCCTTTTGTAGTGTACAATAATTTTAAGTGCTTGGTGTGAGACCCCAGGACCTCATCTTTCACTGGGTTTGGTGGTATGTGAAATGCTTGCACATTCAAATGTTTCTTTAGCTTCAGTTACTGCTGTGCATATTCAGCATTTCTAAGGATCAGGATTTATGGGGTACCAAGTCAGCCACCCAGAAAATGAAGAACACACATTATAACCTTTGCAGCTTCTGTAAAGAATGAGGCAAGGACTCCACAAGTGGATACCTTTCTCTGCTAGCTTTTTCTTGAACCTTATTTTTTCTTATCCTGTTTTTTCTTGAACACTAATAAGGATTAATAAGTCCCCTGAGGGATAGGGTGCATATAGGAAAATAATGATCATAAAATTAAAGACTATGAAAATACATATGTATGGAAAAAGGAATTTATATTGCACAGAGTTACAGTTCCAGCATTTCTTATCTTTTAAGTGTCTGACTTTACAGACCTAATAATAATCTTTTAATGCAGGTATGATTTTGTGTTTGCATAATGATACAGCTAAATTTGATTTAATTTCAAGGCATGCAGGGAAGTAAGAAGATTGATGCCCAGAAAGTTTCTGTGATGGAATTTTACTAAAGAATAAATGTTATGTAACATTTCAAACACAGTGAGATCCTTCAAGATGAAGTGTGTGATATAAATGTAAAATATTTGCAAACTGTAATTTAGCAACCGTTTTAAAATCACAGTCAGTATTCCAACCTCTTACATGTGGCGTGTTAGATCCTTTGTCAACTGAAAACTAAGGGCAGTGAATGTGAGATTCATTAAGTAATTATATAGGAACATTAATTTCAAATTAATTTCAACAGTTGTTTTAGACATTAGTAACCAAATCAGGGGACCAAAGGCAAACAGTAATGCAGTACTTTTAATAAATGAAGGCATTTGAAGTGATTTACATAAATCGGATGATAAGTCCTCATTTAATGGGCTTCCAAATGCCCCCACCCCCCCTTCCAGTTCACCTTTGAGCGTTTCCAAGCTGTGTCTGTGCTCTGCATCTCCGCAGCTCTCTTATTACATTGTGCTTCTCTTGAATCCTTCCTTCGCTGCCTTCGTAATAAACGGTCAGACTTTCTGGAATTTGTTAGCGTGAGCTGGAACCCTTCAAGGCTTCTGAATCTGCAGTGCTGGGAGGCATGGGAAAGGAAAGGGAGCCACTATTGACAAGGCTCCTAGGAAAATAAATGGTGGAGAACAAAAAAAGCAGATTAGGGTATTGAGGGATGCTTGCCTACAGGCAAGGCAGGGAGATGAAAACCATCCCATCAGCAAGTGAATGGGTCACATGTAATGGATAATGACCAGCCCTTTTCATCTTTCCTACAGTGAGCTCAAGGCTCTTAATGAAAAGGAACAGGCACTGGTCTGGACTTACATAGCACCTGATGGATGCAGGGCAGCTCCGTGACTCACCCAGGAGGCGAAACCATCCCTGCCAATGCTCCCTCCTTGGGTTCCTCCTGCCATGAGAAGAAATAAAATAAGTAAAAACCCTTCCTTCCTGAGGGAGCTGGTAATCTGTGAGATGTAAAAGGTGAGATAGGGCAGCTGAGGAGAGTGGGTGACAGGCTGCATTTCCCTTCCTCTTGGTATTGGTTTGCAGTCTAAATAGAATGCAGTGGAATATACAATGCAAGCCTCTAACATCCACAAATATTAAAACAAGGAATTCTCCCAGTCACCAGGCTGTTCAGTGATACTGTCCAGCTGGCAGTAACATTGGGACATTGTTTTTCAAGACTTGAGTGATGAACTGTTGCTATACAGGCACTACTATCAGGGAAAGCATTGGGGTGGCTGGGTGGTACTAGCATATCAAGAAAACAAAGGTGTAGTGATTTTGTTTGTGCTTAGCTCAGTAGAGCTTTCTTACATCAAAGAGATCTGGTTCAGGTCAGAAATGCAGAAAGATACATAAGCTCTAGAAGAAGAGTTTGATCAATCTTACTCTGAAGTATTTAAGATGTTTGCTTTCCTCCTCCCTTCCCAAGCTGCCTGC